TGCTGGTCTTCAACGAGCTGCTGTTGCTGCTCTGCTGCAATGGCGCCCTCCACCACCACCGGTGCTGTCCCAGTCCCACGATGTCCTGTTATCTTCAACGGACAGAACTACAGGGACTGGGTGCAGCACATGAAGCTGCACATGAGGGGCCAGCTGGTCTGGGAGCACCTCTCTGGTGCTCTGCCTTGTCCCCTGCTGCCCACTCCTCCAGCTGAGTTGGCCTTCCCTGTTGATGCCGATGAAACCAAGCAACGTGAGATGCTAGATGCTTTTGAAGAGGCCACTGAAGAGTATCAGAATCAACTCCACTTATACAAGCAATGGACAAATGATGATGCTCGAGCCTCTTCTATCTTGGTGAACAGCATGGATGTTGATCTCACCATGGATGTGGTGGCCCTTACCACTGCATATCAGATGTGGGAGCACCTTCGCCATCGCTATGAGTCTACAGGGGATGCCATGTATCTCTCTGTTGTTCGCCAAGAGCAACAACTACAACAGGGAGATGCTACTGTGGATGATTTCTACAAGGAGATGTCGGCGGTGTGGCGCCAATTGGACTCTCTGGGAGCTGATGTTTGTCGCAGATGTCAGTGTTGTGTGCGGCAACAAGCTAAGCTGGAGGTTCGTCGCCTCTACGACTTCCTCACTCGCCTCCGGCCGGAGTTCGAGCAGAGTCGTGCTCAGCTATTGGCACGCCATCCTCGGCTCTCTACTCTGGAGGCCCTTGCTGAGGTGCGATCTGAGGAGGTGCGCCTACGGAGCACGGGCTTATTGCCATCCTCTTCAGCAGTCCTGGCTGCCCGCGTTCCACCACCGCTGCCTGGTGTGCCCTCTTCTACACAGGTGGCAGCAACCTCCACTAGTGCTTTCTACAACTACTGCAAGCAGGATGGTCACATGATCACGGAGTGCATCAAGAGGAGGAAACAGGGTCGCCGCGGTGGCCGTCCTCAAAAGGACTCGGGAGGCTCCTCTAATTTTCGTGAGGGCTCCCTTGAGAAGGTTCACCAGGAGATGCTCACCTTGCTGCGCCGCCTTACTGCTTCTGCACCATCCTCAGGTTCTGCTGGTTCTGCTGGTCAGACGTCTGGTCCACCACCGCACTCTTCGTCAGGTACATCTTTGCCCTGGATTCTTGATTCTGGGGCCTCCTTCCACATGACACCACACAGAGATCATCTTTGTGCTGTCAATTCCGTGCCTTCTCCTCTTACAGTTCAGACTGCAGATGGCACTTCTCTTTCTGTTGCCGCAAGAGGGACTCTTTCCACGTCTTCTTTTCATGTCCCTGCCGTTTCTCATGTTCCTAAACTGACTATGCAACTTCTATCTGCTGGTCAACTTACTGACTTGGGTTGTCGTGTTATTCTGGATTCTGACTCTTGTTGTGTTCAGGATCGTCGTACGGGGACTCTGGTTGGGATCGGTCCTCGGCGCCATGACTCTCATCGCCTTTGGGAGCTCGATTGGCCGCGCCTTCCTTCCGCTGCGTCCTCTAGCCAGTTGGACATCACCACCCCTTTTGCTTCAGCTGCCACCTCCACCACATCCTTCGCTCAGTGGCATCATCGATTGGGTCACATTTGTGGCTCCCGCTTGTCTTCTTTGGTTAGGAGTGGTGTTCTAGGGTCTGTATCTGGTGATAGTTCACTAACTTGTATGGGTTGTAAGCTTGGCAAGCAGATACAACTTCCATATCCCTCTAGTAATTATGTTTCTCAACGACCTTTTGAACTTGTTCACTCTGATGTATGGGGTCCTGCCCCCTTTGTTTCGAAAGGGGGTCACAAATATTATATAATTTTCATTGATGATTTTTCTCGCCACACTTGGATCTACTTTATGTCATCTCGTAGTCAAGTGCTTCAAATTTACAAGTCGTTTGCTACCATGGTTCGCACTCAGTATGATTCCTCTGTTCGAGTTTTTCGTGCTGATTCGGCTGGCGAGTACTTATCTCGTGCGCTTCGTGGTTTCCTTGCTGAACAGGGTACCCTTCCTCAGTATTCCTGTCCTGGTGCACACGCTCAAAATGGGGTGGCTGAACGCAAACATCGTCACGTCCTTGAGACTGCTCGGGCTCTTCTTTTATCTTCTGCTGTTCCCCCGCACTTTTGGGCTGAGGCTGTCTCTACCGCTGTTTATCTCATTAATATTCAGCCTTCTGTTGCTCTTCAGGGAGGGATACCAGTTGATCATCTAGGTGATGGTCCAGCTGATTATAGTGGTCTACGCCTGTTTGGTTGTGCCTGTTTTGTTCTTCTCCACCCTCATGAACGCACCAAATTGACTGCTCAATCTGTTGAATGTGTTTTCCTTGGCTACAGTTTGGAGCACAAAGGTTACCGTTGCTGGGACCCTATTGCTCGAAGACTGAGAATCTCCAAAGATGTCACTTTTGATGAGTCTCGCTCCTTCTACCCTCGTCATTCTTCTACTGCCACAACCGAGTCGTTAGTCGAGCCTCTCTCTTTTTTGACTCTACCTGATTCTTCACCTTTATCGTCACCTGGTAGGTCCACTCCTAGCCTTTCACCTGTGTCTGCTCATGAGCTTCAGCTTACACAGGATGAGGTTTCTATTCCTGACTCTCCTACTCGGGTTGAGCCATCCACTCTCTCTCCTTTTCCTTTTACCTACTCCCGTCGTGCTCAACACCCTTCTCCCTCTGATGCGCCACCTTCCACTTCCCCTCTCTCTCCGCTTCCTTTTGTCTACTTCCGTCGTGCTCGGCACCCTTCTCCCTCGGATGCGCCCACTTCCACTTCCACTCCTTCCCTGTTGGGTCCCATTCCTTCAGAACCACCTACCCCTCCTGCTCCTCGGTATAATCTGCGTGATCGCCACACTCTCCAGCCTCCTGCGTACTATGTTGCTGCTGCTACCACTCTTGTTGAGCCGTCTACATATCGTGAGGCTGCTGCTCATTCTGAATGGCAGCATGCTATGGCAGAGGAAATTCATGCTCTTGAGCGCACAGGCACTTGGGACCCTGTACCCCTGCCTACAGGCGTTAGACCCATCACTTGCAAATGGGTCTACAAGGTTAAGACACATTCAGATGGTTCTCTCGTGCGCTACAAAGCTCGTCTTGTTGCGCGTGGCTTCCAGCAGGAGTATGGTCGTGACTATGATGAGACTTTTGCTCCTGTTGCTCACATGACCACTGTTCGCACTCTTTTGGCTGTTGCTGCTGTTCGGCAGTGGTCCATCTCTCAATTAGATGTCAAGAATGCCTTCTTGAATGGTGAGCTGCGGGAAGTGGTCTATATGCAGCCGCCTCCTGGCTATACTGTCTCTGATGGCACTGTCTGTCGCCTTCGGCGCGCTCTTTACGGGCTGAAACAAGCTCCTCGTACCTGGTTTGAGCGTTTCTCCGCCGTCATCACAAGGATCGGGTTCTCTGCTAGTGTTCATGATCCTGCTCTGTTTATTCACACTTCTCCTCGCGGTCGCACCCTTTTACTACTCTATGTTGATGACATGATTATCACAGGGGCTGACCACCAATTCATTGATTTTGTGAAGAAACGTCTACATGAGCAATTCTTGATGACTGATTTGGGTTCTCTTCGCTACTTTCTTGGACTTGAGATCATTTCTTCCCCTGAGGGTATTTATCTCTCTCAAGAGAAGTACATCCAAGATCTTCTCACTCGTGCCTGCCTCACTGATCAGCGCACGGTTGACACTCCTATGGAGTTTGGTCTCCATCTTCGTCCTGGTGAGGGTGAACCCCTTGCAGATCCCACGCGCTACCGCCATCTGGTTGGGAGCCTTGTCTATCTAGGCATCACTCGTCCTAACATTTCTTATGCTGTGCACATTCTAAGTCAGTTTGTCTCTGCTCCCACTCAACTTCACTACAGTCACCTTCGTGTTCTTCGTTACCTTCGTGGTACCGTGACTCGTCGCTTATTCTTCCCTCGCTCCAGCTCTCTTCAGCTTCAGGCCTACTGTGATGCTACCTGGGCCAGCGATCCCACTGATCGCCGCTCTCTCTCTGCCTATTGTGTTTTTCTTGGCTCCTCCCTGATTGCCTGGAAGACCAAGAAGCAGAATGCTGTATCTCGCTCCAGTGCTGAGGCTGAGCTGCGAGCTATGGCGTCCGTGACTGCAGAAATTACTTGGCTACGATGGCTTCTTCAGGATTTTGGTGTTTCCACTGCTACACCGACCCCTCTGCTCTCCGACAGCACTGGGGCACTCAGCATTGCCCGTGATCCTGTTAAGCATGAGCTCACCAAGCACATCGGTGTTGATGCCTCCTACACTCGTTCTCAGGTGCAAGACAGAATTGTGGCCCCTCAGTATGTGCCCTCGGAGCTTCAGCTTGCTGATTTTCTGACGAAAGCTCAGACACGGTCCCAACACAGCTTTTTCCTGTCCAAACTCGGTGTCCAAGATCCCCCTTGAGTTTGAGGGGGGGTGTTAGAACAGGGTTGTGCTGTGTGTGTAGTTATCATATTGTATAGGGGCTTCTTTGCTTATTTCCCTTCATGTATATGTGCTGGCCTGTTGGCCCGATGGAATATAGGCTCACTTCATAACACAACTGACCGCTGCACCATCATGGAGTTTGCCCAGAGGTTTACAATCTTGTGCCCAGCTGTGTTATGGCAGGTATTCAGACGGCTAGTTTGCCAGGATTGGTGTTGGACAGCGGAGTATCTGCTTAGGCACTAGCTACCACACGCTAATCCTTGTCTGCTGTTGGACCAAGCACCAGAAACGGTGCAACATCTCTTGATCGCGGCAGCTTTGGCGTGAGATTCTGTCATGGATTCAATCCACTGGACAGCCACCTGGGTCTGGAGATGACTTTGTAGAGTTGTAGATATTCACGATGCACAGCATGCCCATGGTGCAATGGAGGTGTATGTAGCCTTCCTTGCCATGCTCTATGCATAGTAGATTTAAGTGCTGAAATGTTGCCCTCTTCAACGATCGTCATCGCTAAGCTGATGTCTGCCATCCAAGCAGAGGCACGACTCTTGAGTGGTGGTTGGCACGAAGGGTTACAGTTCACATTACCATCCATGCCTAGCCTGTGACAACTTATTTAATTCTATCTTTCAATGCATCAAGACCCGTGGCTTTTGTGTTATCTCAGGAAAAAGGACTTGCTACTATTGTTTCTTTTTTTAATATAAGATCATCATTTATTCATGTGTGCTAAAAGCTTGTGGGAGCATTGCACCTTTGTGCCATAAAAGTATTGCTGCTGGTTTGGAATTTGGGGCATCTGTTGGTTTGTTCTATTTCAACATGCTTTATGGCTATTTCACTAACAAATTTTTCCTCTTGAAGATTATAAGACTCTGCCCTGACAAGTTTTTTGAGGCGGAAGACTTTGTCTTTGTTGCATTAGAGTTATACTCTTATTGTCTTGCCATGGTACTTCAAAGGTATTTCTAAACTCCAAATCCCATTTTATGAGCTCGTGATTATTTCTTCTTTCCTCAGCATAATATTGGCAATTGGTTCCTTTTTCTCTCTCATTGCAGCAGGGATGGAAATTCCCAGGAATTGTCAAGTAACAACTTACTTCCTGAACTATCTTCTGCAAGTGAGACTATGGGTTGCCGAATGAACAATAAGGTAGTGATATGATGCAACCCGAACTAATATCTCTGACTGTGCGTGTTAAAATTCCTTATTGCCTTTTGTGACTTATGAAAGCTAATAGCTTAATTTATGTGGCAGCATTTGTGGAAGCTAATGATGGTACTGCTATCCACATCGCATCAATCGTTTCAACTAGTCTCGACTGATCAGTGCTTGTCAAATATCATCTCCTTTCTGCATAATATCTTGCCTTTCATGAAGAAGTGCTTTAGAGGTAGCATCTTCCTGTTGTTCTTGACCTACTTCCTTTAAGAGAACTTTTTGCTTGTGTCTGTACAATATCTGCATATTTCAGAATTTCCTTGAAGACATAATAAATATCTACATTGCCCTTGGTCCTTTCTGTACGCATCTTGAGGTTCAGTAAACTACTGGAGACTGGTCAAACCAGTCTGGAAAATATGAGTATCTATGTTTGCCATATGTACCAAAAACAAAATTTTGCCAAAAGGAAAATCATAGGTAGCTTTAAACTTTTCTGCCCACAAGTGCCGACTGAAAAGGACTATATATATTAATGTTGCCTGTTTTGCAGAAAGAGTTGAACCAGGTGATGTGCACACCAATCCGCAAGTTGCATTAGGAGCTTTGATTAGCCTGTTGGCATACTTCTGTACAGAATGCGATAATAGGATTTCAATGCTGGAAAACAAGATTTCTGATTCCTACAGGCTGTTGGCGAAGATACTATTTTTTTGTTCCGCAGAAGTCATTGCTCTTGCCAAACTTGTTCACGAGATAGAGTTTCTTAATGAAAATGGTACTAAGAATGATGTGCATATGTGTGACAGCTTTAGGCATTGCATACACATTATTCAGGGATCACTTCGTAGCACCAACATGCAGGTACCTAACTGGCTTTGCCTACTATGTGCACCTAACATTTCAGATTGTGTTAGTAACTAAGAAGATGGTTTGACCAATCAGGTTCAAATGCTTGGGATACATGTGCTAAAAACTTGTGCGCAGAGAGAGCTAACTGAAGTTTCACAAACAGAGACTCATTCTTTTATGATATTACTTGGGGAATTACTAGGAGATGTGTTTGATTTGATGCAAACTGCACTGAAGGTACTAGCTGTATTAATTTTGATATTATTGACATTTCTACGAAATCAGATGGCATGCTTTGACAACTTTCCTTCTGCAGAATTGTTCAAGCCAGGAATCTGTCAACGTGATTGATGATTGTTTAAAATTGCTGTTCCTCTTCCACACACTAGCACAATCACAGAAATACCAGCAAGAGGCTACAGTACTTCTGTTGGATGCCTTGCTGATGGTTTTCTATTTGTCCGATGATAATGCTTCACAGGTAGCAAATCGATATATTTTTCCCAATTTCATATCATGTGTATACTATCGAGTTTGGTGTTAATGTCTGTCTAAGCGGATCCCTTTCAGGAACTTGCTGAAGTAAATACCATCTCCAAGAAGTTCTTCTCTCATTTTATTCAGATTCCATCAGCCGCCATACAGATCAAAGATGTAATGCTGTCAGCACCACCTACAAAAAGACAGCAGCTTCAGGTATTGTGCATTAGTATATACCTGTCATTCATCACGTGAATGTTTTTATTTATACATCTTTTGGATCCTGATTTTCATGATGGCTTCTAATTTTTTTGTCACCTTGCGTTCCATTCTCTTGTAATTTGAGATTACCTTCATGCTATCCAGCTGCTATCCAGCTGCGGTGCAGCTTTCTTTTGATGGGATGTGGGTTTGGGGCATCTTTTGAAGTGCTAAATATCTGCATTCTTTGCATCTTAAAGCAGTCTGTGCTCTTGCCTTTTGTTGTAGGACATGATCCGAGCTTCAGTCAGCCATGGTCAGATCATGGTGCCATTGAATACGAGTGCACAATCACAGCAGAATGTTCAGGATAGCAGTAAAAAACCTGGGTCTGTAGCCATAGGGTCTGGTGCTGATGCAGTCGAAGAGAAGGACGGAAATGAAGTTAGTGATGATGACTGGGATGATGATTGGGACACTTTCCAATCTCTTCCCGCAACTGCTACCAAGGATGATGCAGATTCTGCTATAGCTGTCTCACCTATTCCTGAACAGGGCTCCATTGCAAGTTCTCAAGAACAGATCCATCAGGGAAATACTAATCATGATATTGGTGATATGGATGTAGCAGTGGGCACAATAGAAGGCAGAAAATCTGCTGACAGAGTATTTGGGGAAGCCTCTGCTTCACAATGCTCTAGCCCTAAGCCACAGATCAATAGAGAATCCCTAGAGTCGTCGTATGAAGATGACGAGGAAGTTCCAAGATATCCAGCAGTTGATTGCGTGGAGCAACCGGCGGATGTTCTGATGAATGATAAGACAGTGAGTGAATTGCCGCAGGACCATGACAACCAGTTTGGTTGTAACGAAAGAAACAATGGTGACCTGGAAGATGAGGGCACTGATTCAGCTATCGAAGATAACAAGGAGGATGCTCTTGGAGGAACTCGAAGCTCCGAGGGAGATGCCCTAGATGAAAATATTGCTTGCAGAGATGATTCCACTAACAGTTTGAACAAGAGTTCAGATGTTGTGGTTAGTGAGGGCAGCGACATGACATCAACTGTTGATACTAAGGAGTCTGGGGTAGAGTTAGCACCTTCCTCTCATGGCCCTGGTACGATGAATGCTAGCTTATCCGGGAATCATATCAGTACAAGCAAAGCAAGCGAACACCCTGGTAGTGCCGACGCCGAACCAGAATCATCGGTAGGTGAAAGCTCAGAATCATAACTGAGAGGAACTTGTTGTAGATCACATACATCACTGCAGAGAATTGTATATGCTGATCGGAGGATAGGAAATGAAAAACAAGGTTGGCTTAGCTGCAAGCACTTAATCCTCATTGCCTGACCTTGATGATACAATCCGCGTGCTCAAGCCTGCAGTCTAAAAGAAGTGTCTGCGCCGAGGTGTGGTGAGATCAGAAGCATCGCTCCACGATAGAAGACTCTTGTTCATAGCTACGGGTAGCTTGGGCTTGCAAGTTTGGCCGAGTTATGACGGATTGTATTGTATGTTTGTTCTCACATGTTTGCTGTCGGTTGTGGTTGCATGCTGTAGAGTTTGTATATCGAAATTTTAATACTTGACAGTTCAGACATCAGACGCTGGGGTTGTACACATGTATCTACTGTGCAATTGCTGGCCTCATCTTTGTGTTGGGAATAGGAGGCCAGCTGATACCATGTTTGTATGGGAACCTGATCTACATCATGACATTTTGTTGACGTCATGGATATTCATTACGTTTATATGAAGTCGAGCGCGCGTGTGGCTTGCATTTACTGATGTGTTTATGCGATGTTAGCTTGCAATGCTATGTGTTTACTGATGTGTTTATATTCAAGGCAAAGGTATATCCGCAGAACCTAATAAAATACCTAAAGGTCGACCATTTATATAACCTGTTACTAAAATACAGAAAGTTTGACCCCTAGCACGTTGATGGTTCCCGAACATCCGAGGAGAACGATCGAGCGTGCACATACTTGAGAAGTTCGGCCGGCGACAGGGTTCAGGCTTCAGAGTAGCCGAGGGCGCTGCCGTAGATAACAGTGGAACACCTAAAGATGACTGTCTGTCAGAGAAGCATGCCGATGTAGACATTGTCTGCGAGACAAGAGCTGAGGAAGATATACCTCGGCCAAGCTTGAAATCGCCAAACTTCATCAACGAAAGTTTCTTCACGCTCGGGTGCTCGGGGCCCTTCTCTATTCCGGCCCTATATATATGTCAACGAAGAATCGACGTGGAACTTGAGCTGTGTCAATACCTGAACTTACCGCTGAAATCAGTCGTGGAGCCAAGTGTGAGACGCGTGTCCACTGTGCTTCACCATTTTCACAGAGCAAAAAGAGGTTCAATCCAAAGCGCACAGTCACGCTGACGCTATATGAAGACGTCACAAAACGTTCCTCAGCAAGGGCACCTGAACGTGCCCTTGTAACGCGCAGACGCATCATCAAACGCACCTCCCTTCCAGCAAGGCCAGCAGAAACGAACCCGCATCCGCACATGCGCGGACGGACACGTCCTATTCAGCAAATAGCGAAACGTAGATCGCACGGTTTGTTTGGAAAGCCGAGTGAGCAGCATATGCATATTGATCATTCGGACGTTGATCCGTGACATGACCTCAGGAATATGCCAACAGTACGTCGCCCAAAAGAGTTCTCCACAAAAAGATGATTCATTCATCTAGCCATCCGTCCTTATTTCTGCCTGGGCAATGATATAATCTCTTGGAAAAAGATGGTATGTTCAGCCTTCTATTCCTCCCTGGCAATGATATAGGATCTGTTGCGAACCACATGATCCATGTTAGGTTAGTGGATCACACCTACACCTGTGGGCTGTGGTTGTGTGCTATTACCGGTGGATTTGGATCTCATTCATCCTCTCCCATATGTCACAAACCCTTTTCTCCTTTGCACCTTCCATTAGAAGAAGAAGCCAGAATGGAAAGGGCGATCTACGCACTGTGCATACCAGGTGGGAGTGGGGCATTGTGGATCACAGATGGAGTGGATGAGTATCAAAGCGCACACGGTTTATAGCTGGTCTTCTTCCGTCCATCGGTTTGAGATAGAACTGTTTTGCATGGTCGGGATGGAAAGGGACGCCTGTGCCAACTTTGGAAAAGGGGGCCTAGGCCCATTTCGGGATGGCATGATGACCTTGTGCGTGGGGCCTCAGGTGTATTTACAAGGGTTTGAAGCTTCCTGCGTCGATTCCTCATACGGAGAGGGGTAGAATGGCAAGCAGAGCTAACTGACATGGTTACTGCGTGGCAACGGGAACGAGAAGCGGCATCGGCTATCGTGCATGCCCCACACAATTGGTTGAGGAAGAGGGCTCTGGCAAGTGGGCCCTACCCGTCAATGGAACGTGTGAAAATAAAATTTGCAGAAAGTTCAATTAATGGCCTGACCGAGGACCATTTTGTGCAATTCTTGTTTACCTTTAGATTTTTTGTGGGTGTAAGAAAAGGGCAACCAGAATTGTTTCATAGTCATCTGCACGCATTATGTATCCATATAAAAAGTTCATCATATGGACGGGTTCGTTCCATCTTACAAGTTTATAAACTTTACAAATTGTTCCCGCCTCGCAAGTTCACTTAACCCTGATCCCCGAATTATTAGGAAGAGGAAGATGGCATCGGGCTATCGTGCATGCCCCACACAATTGGTTGAGGAAGAGGGCTCTGGCAAGTGGGCCCTACCCGTCAATGGAACGTGTGAAAATACAATTAGCCGAAAGTTCAATAAACGGCAAAGATAAAATCCTACCGACTGGTGGTTTGCAACAGGCGCGTACGACCTGATGGCCCTTCGATCCCCAACTAGGACGCACACAGTCGCTCGATAATTTCTTTCACAGTCACACACGAGAAAAAGAAAGCTCCCCGCGAGCGACCGGAACGCCCGCCGCCGCCCCTCCCGCGAGCGCCGCTGCCGGCTGCCACCTCCCTCTGACCCGTACAACCCCCAATCGATCCCCTCAATGTTTCATCTCCATCCACGCGAGATTCTGCTCCGTTCGCGCCATGGCTGCCATGGCCGAGCTCAGCCAGCTCCGGCTGTGAGAGGAAGAGAAACGGGAGAGGGAGAAGTCCAGGTGCCCACCACCGCCGGCTGCATCGACCTCAGGCTGGATCCGCTCCCCACCATCGCCGCATGTGCCTCGACCTCAGGCTGCATCCGCCGCCCATCATCACCGCCAGTGCCTGCCGCTCGGGCGGCAGAGGGAACCTCGTGCCGCTGCTCGCCTTGCGCGTCTGAGGGAGCGGCTGCAGCAGTGGCAGTTTTGGCCTCTGAAGAAATTGCAGCAGCTTGCATCTGACGGAGTGACTGCACTTTTGGCCTCTGAATAAATTGCAGATTTGACCTCTGAAGCAACTGCACTTTGCTTCCAATTAGAATACCAAATGAGCAGCGGCAGTAACAGCTAGAACATGCGTACAAATGCATCATTTCAATCCAGACAATTCTGTTTTTTAGCGTTCTTTTCTCTGAAGAAAGTGTATGAGGCCAAGTTCTACTATTAGTTTTCAGAAAATTCAGACTTTCATTGTTCCATTCTCTCTTTGTGAAATGCAGCTTGGGTAAATTAAGAGGTAAATTTAGTTTCAATAGATAAATCTGAGGGACAATAGATGCAGTTTGTGTCAAGTAGATGTTCTATTATATTTACGAAAATGCTAAAATCCGAACCCAGATAACTTCTATGTGAATAGTATGATAATTTAGGCATCATGGAGCTGATAATTTGCATACAAACACCGAGGGGTAATTTTAACCCGGGGAATAAGTTGTTGAAAACATCCCTGACAACTTATTTGTAAATCGCATGGTAATATACACATCGAATACCTCATAATTTAGGTACAAACAACACGAAAACTTTGACGCATGAAAAAAAGTTGTTAAAAACATACCACCGATAACTTTTCGTGTAAATAGCACGATAATATAGGCTCCTGGACATGATAACTTAGGTTCAAACACCACGATAACTCTGCCCTGTAAAAAAAGTTGTTGAAAATATAGTACCGATAACTTCTTTGTAAATAGCATGATAATTTAGGCACCACAGAGCTGATAAGTTGCATATAAACATCGTGGGGTAATTTTAACCCGGGGAATAAGTTGTTGAAAACCACCCCTGGTAACTTATTTGTAAATTGCATGGTAATATATACATCGCGATAATTTAGGTACAAATACCACGATAATTTTGACACATGATTTTTTGTTGTTGTTGAAAATATACTCTTTTTGTAAATAATATGGTAATATACACTCCCGGACCTGCTAACTTAGATACAAACACCACGATAACTTTGACTCGGGGAAAAAGATGTTAAAAACATACCACCGATAACTTTTTGTGTAATAAGCATGATAATATAGGCTCCTGGACCTAATAAGTTAGGTACAAAACACCACAATAATTTTGACCCGTGAAAAAAAGTTGTTGAAAACATACCACTAATATCTTCTCATGTAAATAACATGATAATATACACTCTCAGACCTGATAACTTAGATACAAACACCACGATAACTTTGACTCGCATAAAAAAGTTGTTTGGAAACATACTCCGGTAACATCAATATAAATAACATGGTAATATAGGCTCTCGGACCTGATAATTTAGGTACAAACACCTCGATAACTTTGACCCGTGAACAAAAGTTGATGAAAACAAAGTTTGGTAGGATCTGTGTAAATAACACGGTAATGTACGCATAGCAGAGCTGATAACTTATTAGCCCAGGCATGATAACTTTTGACCCAAAAAAAAGTATTCGAACCATGCCAAAAAACATGGTCTCGCCGTGGCGGATTTTTTTTTGTGAAAACAGATTTTGGATCGAACAAGCGGTCTGAGCTACAAAATATTTTAAAATTTCAAAATAAAAACAATCTATGATGACATTAGTTTTTCCGCACTTTTTATGCCCGGAATCAGGGTAGAAAGCTGGAAGAAGTCATTTTTATGGCCGGAATTTGCCTATGTAAACATTGTGGTAACTTATGTATCATATACGTGATAACTTTCATACCCAGTCGTGGTAACATTTTGCCTTCAAAAAAAAGTTGTCGAAACATATTAACATGGGATCTAGTTTTGAAGGTCTCGTCGCGCCGAATTTTTTATGTGAAAACAACTTTTTGATCGAACCGACGGTTTGAGCTATAAAACATTTTAAAAATTCAAAATA